AAGGGAGTCCCTGCTCCTAGATTGTTCTGGTCCCCAGTTTGGGGAGCCCCCATCCCACAGTCCCTGCGGAGCTGGGCAGCAGTACACTCACCCCTGAAGGTAAATTCAGACTGTGGGGCTCCTCCCCCCTTGCCCCCCTGAGTGGGTTTGGGCAGAATAATTGGCAAAGGGAGCTGTGATACCGGCTGGGGCTGAGGTGGTGGCAGCGGGTCCCTCCTGGCTGCTCTGTGTCCTGGGGTCTCCCCAGGTCACCCCACCCCATCCGGCCTCTGGTCTGCCCCCCAAAAGGACGGGGATCTGCCTCGCTGGGGGAGGTCCTGAGCAAATATCCTTCCCCCCTCCCCACCACCACCAGGGTTGAAAGGCTCTGTCTTTGTCCTATGAAGTCCCCCCCCCTGTTCCCTGGGTGGGGTTTCCTCCCAGGGAAGTGGAGGGCTGAGGGAGTTGTGGCTGCCGCTGCCCATCCCAGTACCCTCTGACCAGCATATTTGTGGCAGAGGTGGGAGTGTGGCTGCGGGTGTAGAAGTGGCCCTGGCACCAGGGGCTGCGTTTGCAGCCCGGCACGTTGGGACTCTTTGCTCAGTCTTGCACAAACACATGGATTGAGTGATGCTGCCTCAGGGCTGAGGTCGAGGTCCTGGACTGCTGCAGGGCTCTTCAGAGTGAGTAAAATCAACTGGAAAGTGATGACTAAAGAGAGCGAAGAGGGGCCTCTGGCCCTGCAACAGGGGATTTTCTGCATCTGTGTCCTGAGCAAGTTTAGTAATGCCATGATGCGCAATGGTATAATCTGCTTTTTGACAGGAGTGTGGTGGAAAAGTGAATGCTGCTGCCCAGCTCGGGCTCATGCAGGCTCATGTTTCTTGTGTGTGGGGGGGTTATCCTGGTCTGCTTTTGGACCCCTTTTTTTTATTCTTGTTGGTGTTTCTTGTAATGGTGTTTGGCCAGAAGCCAGCGCCGGGTGATAAAGTGTGCCCAGAGCTGCTCTTTCATGGCTGTGGCTACACACACCCATGGGAAACAGCTCCTCATTTCCTGCGGGGCTCATCACTTCTTGTAAAATCCTGCTTCATGCTCTTCAGAGGTGCCAGCTGGCACTGCGCAGCCTTTGTCCCCAGCCCACCGGTGCTCCCCCCCCCCCACTCGAGATGGGCATTGCTGAGCCGTGGGGCTGTTTGTGCAGGTGACCTCGTGCAGCAGGACCGGATGGCTTCGTGGTGCAGCCGCTGGCTGGCGGTTTGCAGCACGGATCCGGCTTGCTTTCGCACCAGGGAGGCTGTGGCGGAGCTGGGGGCACCGGGCTGCGCTGCGGACACCGGAGCTGATAAGACGTTGCATTGCCTCAGTGCTCCTCCTTTCACCGAGCAACTGGGCAAAGTGCAAGCTGAGGCATAAAAATATAATTGCCTGCTTTTTCTTTCTCCTGCTGCCCCTGAATCTCGCGCTTTTTAGTGGAGAGGAGCAGATGTGCTGGTGCACAGGAAAGGAGCCATCAGGCTCAGCAGTGGCTCGCAGGGTAATTTTGTATTTGCTTCTTGCTGCCTGGCCCTGGGGTGGGTGGGTAGAGAACAAAGTTCAGCAATTGTGGTGCCAACAAAATGAAGCTTTTGCTCCTGATAAAGCAACAATTTCACAAATGAAATTCCTGGTTCGGCACAGTGTGGCTTTCCCGCTGCCTGTCCCGGGCTAAAGTCCCCAGTGGAGTGGGACAGGAGAAAGGCTGAGGAGGTGCAATGAGGGAGATTAGCAGGAAGGATGTGCCCTCGCCTATGGAGCTATGCATCCCGACAGTGGAGCTGGGGCCAGGTGTTGTTACTGTCTGCATGTGGGGTGGGTGGTCTGGATCCTGCTCTGGGGCAGGCAGCTCCGGTTCTTCAGGTTTTAGTCTCTGTCAAAGGTGGAACAGGCTGGGGTTCAGCTGTTGGGAAATGGTGCTGGGTCACTGCTGAGAAGAGGAGGTTAGAGGTGTCTGAATGTGTGCCCTTGCTGCGCAAAGGGCTTTTTGGTGATTGTTTCCAAAGCAGGTGGAGCGTTTTTTCTATCTGTAAGAGCCCAATTGAATAGAATTGCCAGGGAGAATTAGGAGAAACGTCTGAATCTTTTATCGCTGCAGTTCAAGCTTGTTTCCAATGTTCATCACAATCTTTAAAGAGCTGAAAAGGAGACTGATAAACTGTTTCAGTAAGCAGCAATTACCAAGGCAGTGCTGGGCAGGTCCATCTAGCCCCATACTAGGAAAAGAGGTGACCGGGTTCTGCCAGATGTTTGCACACTGGTAGCACTGGGGACCCTGGGCTGAGCTGCGTGAAGGCAAGTACAAGGACAGAAATGCTGAGGAGCAGCCCCGGTGCATCTGCAGTGCGAGGGGAGAGTGGAGGCAGCAGGAGGCCAAAGATGGTCCTGGGGAAAAACAGCCAGGGTGGGTGGTGATTGAACCAGGTCCAGGGCAGATCCCTGAGGTCAAGCTGAGCCTCTCGGTTCACTTGCCCAGCCCCTGCTTGGGGACAGGTCACGGTACCAGAGGCTGAGCCACCTGCCTCGCCGCAGAGCTGGCCCAGCCCCAGCAGCTTTGCTGGGGGGCCCCCTGTTTGAAAACAGCAGCTCCACAGCAAACGCAGGCAGGTGTCCAACCGTGACACGAAGCGCATTGCGACACGGTGTAGGGGATGCTGAGAGGCACCGTGGTACGTGAGGGCTCCTTCCTCTTGGAAAGCAGCCCTGCGGAGGGGCTCATGGGCATCAGCCATCCCCATAGCGTGCTCCAGCTTGGCACTTTCTCCCTGCAAGCTGCTGCTGCTTTCTCAGCTCCTCAGCCCCTTTCCCCCTCTCAGTTGTCTCGGTGCCCCTTCCTCGGTGTGTTTCAGCTTTGGTTTTGGGGGGTTGGGTATGGGAGACCGGCTGGCGGAGAGGGGGGTTTGACTCCCCTGCCCATGATGGCCAAGGTGTGTGGGGTTGGCTGTATGTGACACATCCTGGTCTGCCACCGAGTGCTGGTGTCTGTGCCAGGGAGAGGGGGATGCTCGGCACGCGTGGCTGCAGCTATTTCTGCAGAAAGGCAGGTTTGCAAAAATCCCGCAGGGAAATGGGATCTCCTGGTGTTGCTGGGAAGGTTGCCTTGGTGGTGGATCCCCTGCAAACAGGTTGGGCTGAGCTGAGTGCTGTTGTGCTGCATCTGAGCTAAAGCTTTTCTGAATTAGATCCGCTGTGTGCGCCCTTCTCTCCAGCAGACACAAATTTGCTGTACTGCTCCTCAGGTTTGTCCTGGAGCTTGGGGTGTTGCACAAAGCTCCCCTGGGAAACTGCTGTATTTTCTGCCTTCCCTTTTGTCCCTAGGCTGGACAGGACGGCAGAGCGAGCACAGGGGCTGCTGGTCTGTGCTCTGCAGCGTGTGCTGGGCCTCTTCTCCCGTTCCCAGCAAACACGGGAGAGGAGGCGGTGGGGGGCTCATGGTGCTGAGAGGTAGCTCTTCTCCTGTAGCCATGGTGTAAAAAAGAAATTCAAAACCTCTAGGAAACGGGTCCAAAAAAATAGCACCGTCCTCTCAGCATGTGCTGGATGTCACCTCTCCACGCCCTGCGCTGGGCTGTTATTAGCATCACTCGTCTCTTTTTGAGAGTAAGAGATGGGGCTCTGTGGGGCGAGGGGAGCAGGGCACTGGGGTGCCAGGCTGCAGGGAACAAAGGCGCAGCAGGGACAGTTGGCTGAAGATCTTGGGGGTTTGCCCAGGGCTGCCAAGGCAGGAGCTGCTGCTCTCGTGACTGGTCCCCACCAGCCCTGCTGGGTCGTGCGGCTTTTCTGAGGTGCCTGCCGTCAGAGCTGGGGAGTCCTTCTGTCTGCCACGGCTGCTGCAGCCAGGGCACGCTAGGTGGCAAGGAAACTCTCAAAGGCCTTTTGCAAGCAGCTTTGAAAACTTTTAATCTGATGTTGCTGACATAATACTGGGTGCTTGAAACCCTTTGTTTGATGGAGCAACGGGTTTCTAATCCTCTGCGTAGGAAACTTGGCTCTGAGCTGAGGAACCTGACCCGGGGAACGAACTGGTCCAACCTGTCGTTGAGCAGCTTTACTTTGAAAGTAAAAAGCCAGTTTGATTAGGTGGAAACATTGCTTGCAGTGGAAGGATTAATGACTAATCCTGGTTTCATTAATTCTAATTCTAGTGCTTTCACTTTCATCAGAGTTCATCTAATGATAGTGTCAGATAATTACCTAAAGATCAGCACCACCTCCTGTGCTCTGCGTAAAACTGAGGTGTGCAAAGGGGAGCACTCTCGGGCAAGTCTGTCTGGCTCAGGTGGTCTGGAGAATCAGTAGAAGTTCCTGATTTCTGTAGCGTCAGACCCTGCACCGTGGGATGACCAAGGCAACTGAGGAGCAACAGCTCAGGGACTTCAGTAGGGGCAAAAGGAGTTTCTGACTTGGGATGAAAAGTGTCGCTACAGAGGAAATGGATCCATGGCAATAAACGTGGCATTTGTTCAACTGAAATCAGTATCAATCTCAAAAGACACAGGGTGACTGTATCGTGGTCAGATTTAACAAGGTATCATTAATCTCTTGACATAATTTTAGACGTGTGAAATGTTTTAATTGATTTAAGATATTTACGTTTTAAAAGATAAATTGAGGAAAAACCCTAAAATCTAGGTCAAGTTTTTAAGTTTACAATAGTCAGTGCCCAAAAATCTATAAATGAGTATAATTTTAAGCCTTTTTTCAGAAAACTGACATTAACACTGAAGGGCCTTGTGAACTGCAGTTCCTGGTAGTCTTTATTTTCTGTTGGTTGTGCAATATTTGTATAAAACCCTGCAGTGCTTTTAAAAAAAATATTTTCCTCAACCTCTGCACTGTTGGCAATTTCCCATAGTATGGAAATAGTTGTGGTAATACAAAGATCTGCCTTTAGACAGGAGAAAATGCTAAACATAATTTATTAAAGAAACATTTTTCTAGTACTCATAAATATTTTTCCTTCATCAATGGACAAACAGGTCTGAAGACAGATTTCATCTGTTACATTAATGTACTTTTCGTGTGTTCAGATGTGGGAAGTACACCCCATACATGCCTTGTTGGACCTGGTATAGATGTGACTTTCTTCTTAGGCAAAAGACAGTCTGGTGGGAAAAGAACAATGTTAATGGCAAAAAAAAAGTCTGCACTTTGCCCTTCATTAGATGCCCCCAAACCGTGTTGCCAGGTGGGGATGGAGGGGCTAAAGCTGCCTAGGCAGGCACTGGCATAACCCCTGGTTTTGAATCTGAGTTTTTTTTTTTTTTTTCCTTCTAAATCTTGTTGACTAACTTTTACTTCTGAATCTCAAAGGACGGTGATCCATGTTACCTGCAGATTTAGCTGTTCTTTTCTAGCTGGTGCAAAGCAAATAACTACTTTTGAAACAGTGCTATTAAGATGGTGCCCCCCATCAAATCAACACCAGAGATCAGAAGAGGATCTGCTCTGCTCTTTCCAAGGGTATGCAGCTGGAGTACAGCCCTGCAAGGCTGCTACAGCCCATGTGTTAGGAGCATTGAATACAACATTCTGGATGTGATTCCTGCAGTGTATTAAGAATGTTGCCTTCTGCGCTCCGTCATCTGTAACCTGATCATTCTGCAGATGTTTGAACAGGGAAGAGGTTTAAGAAATGCTGTAGGACATCCCCTGTTTCAACCTGCTTGTCATATTGGTGTTTGCCTTACCTTCATTTTTATATTTTTCTCTCTGCAAAGGACTCTCATTCATGATCTACTGCTTCCTTTCCTAGAAATCTACTTAGCTGAGTGTAAATACCCTTCCATATCTTTCTGTGCGCAAGTCTGAGAGTTGGCGATAACTGAAGGAGGATTTGACATGCCATTTGCTGTTACCGTGTGTGTCAGGAACTGCTACTGCTGGGCTGCTTGTGGATGTGTCTGAATGTCCCTCCTGCAACTCCCCAGGTGGCTGGGCACTGCTGGACTCAAGTTAGAGGTAGGACAGCAAAGGGGCCGCTTACCAGGAAGCATAACAAGAGGAGGAGAATGAAGCCGAGCAGGGTGGAAATGCAGATGAGGATAATGGCCCAGAACTGAAGCCCTGCAAAGGCAAGATAAGAGCACATCAGTTTTTTGGACTCCTGTATGTGAGACAGAGGGAGATCTTGTCCTGGCAATGTTCAAAAGTACTGTATAGCACAGAGGTGAGGCAAAATTGCTGAAAGGCAGCAACCTGGTGTTCCCTGGCTGCAGAGCAAACGTGCCCCAGCAATGGTGAGATGTAGAGAAACTTTGTTAAAATGGAATGAGGGTGGGAGGATCTACAACTGCCACCTCAGTGAGTGTCAGAGCCCTCAGATGGTTTCAGGGATGTTCAGAGAGACAAAGTGCTCTCAGCTGCTGGCTGGACTGTTTTAGGGGACAGGGCTAAAGGTGTCAGGAAAAGCTGGCCAACATGTGCATGGAAAACCAACAGTTTGGAGTATTTTTTCCCATTTACTGTTTGTTCTGGAATTGTGGCTATGCTCTCTACACTGTATTTGAAATTTTTTGTAAATACTGCAGTTATCAAAATTTATTGGTGCCAGAGCTCCAAAATAGCTTCAGAAGTTGTATTGCTTTTGCCTGTCCCTCACTTCCATTTTCCTCAGGCTGGCTGGCTCTGGTGCCTGCTGTTTGATGCCAGACTACCAAAAGTCCTAGATTTCTGAGCTCTTGCTGGGGTCTAGTCTCCATTTCAAGGTATATGATGCTAATTTAATATAGTTCAAGTAGTCAGTGGTTGCAGGGTCAATCCATCCCCAAAATCACTTACCAGATCTTTCAGACTCCTGCTCATCTGTCTTGAGTGGAGAGTAACCTGGAAATAAAGGGTGGGATAGGTGAGAGTGCTCTAGAGGTGATTAGAATAAAACTAATAAGCATTCTCACAAAGTCACTACAGGAGCTCTCACCTTCAAGGACCAGACTCTGCTCTTCCAGCTCATAGCTGGGGCCCAGCTTGGTGAACCCATGTGTCAGGCGTTTCAGCTCCTCATACACCTCTTGCTTTTGTAAAGTCCGTGACAAGGGGTCCAGTGTGAATTTGCAGAGGGAGGCAACACTTGCATAAGCTTTCCCATGGACAGGCCTGGAGGATGACAGCCAGAGTTGTCATTATGGGAGGAAAAAAAAATATTGCCAAGTAGGAGGGAGGAGGATTCAGAATTAGGCTCAGGTTTGCAGATGTCTAAGCAATGCTTTGTTAGCTATGGGATCAGTTGTGGCAGTTTATGCTAGATGAGATGCAGCCTTGTGAAATTCATCCACCCACTGATTTAATCTCAGGTAAGGCATTTCTAAGAGGTAAATCAGCACAGCCTTTTTTGTTCCTCCAAAGGTGCTGGAGAAGACACATGCAAGTAGATTTTGTTCTCAGGCTCATGAATTCTAATGGTTGTTTTGCTAATGTGTTTCAGTGGAGATTTAGCTTATTTGAATAAGGTAAATGAGAGAACGAACAGATGTATTTGTTTTACTCTGGAATTGTTTATGCATGAAAATAGCTTTGCTAGCATGGAAACAAAACCACCTCTCGTGGACAGAAACTTTTTGTGGTAAAGGCAAAAGTGACAAAGTGAATGAAGGTGCCTCAGATGTGTCATCCAGAGCACAAAGGCTGGCAATGAGGTATAAACACCATGCTGAGGCTCTAAATGCCCTTTCTGCTAACTGCTCTTTTGGGACTCAAAGACTTCCGAAGCTGGACATACCCAAAGCTCTCAACAGTACAGCCAGCAAAGCAGTCCTTCAGGCTGCTAGTTCTGAATACATCAAGCTGTTGAGAAGAAACAAAACAGTTGATGAAAATTGAGTAAATCTAATACATCCTTAATTTGGACAAGGAAATTGAACTACTGCTGTCAGGTTTACCTCTTTCTCAATTTTCTCTTTGTTTGCTTGGTACGTCTGTGACCTGGAGTCCTGCAGTTCTGGAGAGTAGGGAAGGTTGGAGATTCTGAAATTTAATCTGAAGTTTTCTTTCCCAGACTTGAGGGGTGTTTTGTAAGTTGCTGCCTCAATTGCTAGTTCCAAGCCTGGAAATCGTTAGGAAAAGTCAGTATAAATTCTTGCAGAGAGGAACAGAGGTTCTTCTACCTGCAGACTTTTAGCTAGGAAAACTTTAAAGTCTTAATAGATTAACAGAACTTGAGTTGCACTGTTCCCAGTCTACCATTTGAATCAGTCCTTTAGTAATGTACTAGGCCACTCATTTCTTTGGGAAGCTTTACATTTGCAAAAAGCTTAAAGTCTGTTTATCTCTAAATACTTGAAGTTATAGTGAGTAGTTACTGGTTCATTATCTTAGTTAACATTGAGTAACACCTTAAGCCATTGAGGACTAAAGGGCTACACTGAGCCAGACTGAACGTGGCAAAGGACTGGCCCAACTCTAGACTGAGTTCAGTGATTCAACTTGATAACAGATTTATTTCCACACACATCCCCTCTGATAGACCAGAAGTTGGGGAATTCTGAGTATGCTATGGCAAAGTGGGTTGATCTGGGTGGAAACCGGGCAGGTGTGATGCGAGTTCTACATACTGTCTACTGAGAATTCCTGCAGCTGGTAACTGCTTCCCAGCCATAGTCCAGTTGCATTTGAAGTCCCGTCCTGAAAGGCCCTTTGAACCACAGCCTGGCTGATGCTGGGCTCTGGCTGGAAGAAGCACTTGCAGTCGACCACTATGGATCCAGTCCTGTGGACAGAGAAACAGAGGTTCTGAGATAAATAGGCTGGTGATCATAAAACTACTTCATGTGGGAAGGAGCTTCCTGAGAGGCTCCTGCTGTTCTGACTTTAGTGTTTTAAGCTAATGTGGTGCTATTGAGATGTGGAACAGGCTGTTTTGGGCTTTTCCTTTGGACAAGGACAGTAAAATGAAATGACACTACCTCTTCTCTCTGCAAACTTAGGTTATACTGCATGCATACAATGGAAGCTCAGCACTTTAAAAAAAGAAAAAAGCTTTTACCCTGTGTGAGGTTCCCTTGTCCAGGCCTCTCTCCATCTAGAGTAGGACACTACAGCTATACCTGAAGCCCACTTTTAAAACCTAGTGGAGTCCAAGTCAAGAGGAGTGCAGAGGTTGCAGGGTCACGATCAGCCCTCATTAAGAGGGTGGTGATCAGTAATTACTGGCATATTCAGAGACTGAAGAGTGCCTTACAGAAATCCTGACTGAGACTGAGAAAAATGGCAGTCCACACCAAGTCAGGAAAAATTCTGTAAAGCCTAGAAATGACCTCTTAGGGCATAAACCAAACCATTTCCAACAGGAGAATGGAGGGGAGGAATTCTGCAGAGAACAATGGCACTTGGCCACCTGGAAATGGTGTCTGGGTGAGGCAGCCTTTCAAACAAAATCAGATTGTTATCACCAACCTCAGTCTTGTGATACTGCAGTTCAGGAACTGGTCCCGCAGGTTGCTCTGACGGTACAGTTGATTCATCTGAAATAAAAATGTCATGTTAAATATTAATGAGTTCTGAGACTCCTGGTAGATGCTTTAGGCCAGCAGGAGGGGTTCTAACTTTGGAGAAACAGCAGAGTATTTTTTTCTTCCCTAGTTGGATTTCAGGAGAGTTGGTTTTTACTTCAGAATATGCCTTCTGGTGATCGAGTCTGATTTCCAGCTCTACAAGCCTTTCTGTCTTATCTGAGTAAGCTGCCAGTGCTAAACTGCACAATCTGCTGACTGACAGCTGTCATTGATCCACATTTCACAGACAGCACAGGCTCAGAACTCAGCTTCACCTAAAAAGCAAAAGCTACTGGATTAGGGCTTTATTGGGTCGATATGTTGGTGGATTGGTGCTGAAGAGAATGTGCTGCATTCTCAGTGATGGGTTATGATGTGCTGACTTCTGAGCCATCAGAGATCTGTATCCCCTTCTGGAGGTGAGACTGAAATATTGAGTGAGCATGCCTTTAACAGATGACCTAAATCTCTTGCATTTTGTCGCACATGTCTTCGGCTGCAGATAATTCTAAAGTTACGTGTAACATGACAAAATCAAAAGTGATTCTAAGGACAATCTCATCTTTTAGACTCTAGAAATTCTTGTTCCCAAATGTTGATTATTTTTTTTGAAGGCATACATCAATGGCAGTTGCTGCAAGAATTGACCAGTGCGGACATGATGACATTTAAGCTGCAGTTCCTTACCTTGTTACTGATGCTTTCCACTGCTGCTTTGTATTCTGGAGACTGAGAGTCTGGGTTAGTTAGGTTTTCATTGACTATTCTAAAACTCAATCTGTAGCCCAATTTGGCTGAAGCTTCAGTCAAGATGGGCTTTCTGGCGATAGCTGAGTCTGTGAGGGGGAAACCTAAATAAAAATGGTACAGTTCATTTATTTTTACATCAGATCTATCCATACCACAAAAGCAATATAGGTATGTCCCTGTTTAGATTGTATAATGTAACAGTGAAATTCTCCAGGAATTTATATTACTTAAGGGGTGGAAATGCTCCTAGAATGGCAATATGCTGGACTGGTTTTGTCTTTTCTCATGGTGTCAAAACCTACAGAATACCAACAAACCAAAGGGGGAGTTCATTAGTGCTCAAGTCCCAGTGGAGTGGAAGAATAAGGAAGGATCTCCAAGTGATCCCAAAATAATACATTGGTACTGTTCATGAATGCTTACCATCAACATACAGGCTGTTCTTCTCCAGGCTGTAGTGCCCTAGTTTGGTGACATCATTTGTCATGATGCTCAGCTCGTGATAAACCTTTTCTCTGTCAAACCTGGCAAGGCTGACGTTGTTTTTGTAGCTGCAGATGGCATCTATGCCTGTGTCATACCTGTCTCTCCCAGACCTAAGTAAAAATGTAAGATGTGTTCTTTAGGACACTGACTCTTACAGAACACCCAGTGTAATTTGTATGACTAGGAACGACGGGCCCTAAAACCTGTCAGTGCAACTAGGCTCCTACATCCTTCAGTAGATTCTCAAGAATTGTAGCAATGACATTTAGATAACAAAATGATTTTACCAGCAAGAAAATCATGAATGGACAGGGAGGTGTCACTCGCTTTTCTTTTCTGGCATCAGAACAACTATAACGTATGCAAATTTAAGGTGTATAAGAACAGATAAAGAAATGGTTAATTGCACTTTCAGGGATCTTACCTAAATCTCATCACTTTACATCCTGTGTAGGCAGAGCTTATGCTGCTTCTTTTGAAAAGAGGGTCAATCTGTCAAAAAAAAAAGTACAACTGAACTTGAAAGCATGTCCTGAGTTTAATGCAGACGTATTAAGATCGCTACCATAGCACAAAATGGGCAGAACCAGAGCCAGACTTACATAATGGTTGATAACTTTCACTGTGGAAATGAATTTGTGGGAACTTGGTACATCCAGATCTGCAGTATACTGGAGGTTGGTCAAGGTGAAATTCAGTGTGAAATGCCTGGATGTTGGGCTTGGTGCAGTAGTTGTGCTCAGAGCTATAATCAAAGGGGAGAAGGATTATGATTTTACTATAAAAAAAAAAACAACACCCTATCTTCACTTTCAAAGACATTCCCAATCCTCTTGTACACTTCAAGGCTACTCTGAACAATCCCTTCCCCTCTTATTTTCTGAGTGCACCACTCCTTTGACAGTATTCCTTGGAATGAGTTTGGTAAAACACTTACATGATCTCTCAAGTGGTTTGTTGTAACCTGAAAAGGAAATGCAAGAGAAACATTATGTAAGAGAACTATACACTTAAGAGAATGAAAGAGAAGAGGAGATGATTAAATGGATGACTTGGGAATGAATCATCAGAACCGGTCCCTGAGGGTGTGAATCTATTAAACAAACAACCTACTGATTAAGTAGAACAAGGTGCCTTTATAATAGTGAAGACTACAATGAGAAAATATGTGCCACAGTTTAAACTAAATGCTGGTGGAATAGAAATCAGGTGAAACGTTCATATGCAGGTGAATGGCTGAGGTCAAGACTAAAATTCACTCTTCAATGTAATATAGAAATGAAAATCTTTAAAAATGTTTATGTGAGAAGGTTCTTGGGAGTATGCACTTGATCTTATGCACATAAGTTATGCAGTTAACTCCAGTGGGATCATATTTTCCTTTAGGCCACTTTTTTTTTTATATTGAAATGGTCCCTAAGACCTGAGGTGGTCCCAAACTGCTCTAGTGCCTGAAGGAATGAGAAAATCGAGCACTTACCATTGATATAGAGACTCTTGTTGTCCAGGTTATAGATTCCTAATTTAGTGATGCTGTTTGTCATGCTCCTTAGTTCTTCATAAACCTTCGCCTGGTCAAACTTAGGCACTTGGGAGCCATTTCCATAGCTGCAGATGGTGTCTACTCCTGTGTTATCCATGTTCCTCACTGACCTGAGGAATAGAATATCATGAAGCTTGTGTTAGTTATTCCAAAAATCGTTTTTTTTTTTTTTCTGATGTGAATCAAAAAACCCAAAACTATTAAAATTTGTCCACAGTTCTCAGATGAACTGCAGAATTTACCAAGATACGGTATTACAAAGAAAAAAGGCTTTGTAAGATAAGGACAATAAGAAAGCACACAGAAGCTTTATTATAATGATACTGACTTCTTGAAAAAGGAAAAGAACTGTTATTAAAGTGTCAGTCAAACATAATGAAATCCATTTGCTAAAGTTCAAAGCTAATCTTTCAGTTGTGTTGCTCACCTGAATCCTGTTACTTTGCAGCCAGTGAAATAGGGGCCAATGCTGCTCTTCTGAAGCAGGGGGTCAATCTGACAAGGAAAGGTTTTGTGAGTATGGGAAACCCAAAATCCTGGGTGATTTTAGTGAAAAACAATGTGATGTGGTCTTACGTAATGTTGCATTATTTTCTCAGTGGAACTGAATTTAGCAGAATTTGGTATCCCTAGGTCTGTTGTGAACCTGAGGTTGGTTATTGTGAAGTTCAGTGTGAATTGCTCTATCACCAGTCCTGGGCTTTGTGTGGTGGTTGGCTTCACCACTGTAAGAACAAAAATTACACAGATAAAATAACAGCATCTTCATAAGACATAGTACTGTTGTTGGTTTTCTTTACATTTAGAGCAGAAAAACAAATTAATATGATCACATACTTCAGATACTTTGCAATCTTACGAGCATTGCTAAATCAGGAAGAAACAAAATCTACTTATGCTTTTGAGTAGCTTTAAATGTATCTGTTTTTAAATATACTTACGTGACAGAGTATGCAGTTCATTGTAATCTGAAAAACAAATGGACAATTATTAGGAAAATATTCCAAGAATGTAATGGCAGGACTAAACACATCTTTTTTATTACAAAAGATTCAGGATTGTGGTTACTAAATAAATGACTTTTAACTTGGTGATTCTGACAGTTTTTTGCCCTCTGCTTTTTGTTATCTGTTTTGAGAGGTGTATTTAATCCTCTTCTCATTTCAAAGTAGTCTGTGTCAACAGAAGGAGTAATGCCTTGAGGTGGTATCTTTACCATTAATGTAGAGGCTCTGGCTGTTAAGGTTGTAGTGTCCCATCTTGGTGATGCCATTTGTCATATTGCTCAGCTCATGGTAAATGGTAACTTTGTTGAACTTGGGATCTGAAGGCTCGTCTCTATAGCTGCAGATGGCATCTACTCCCGTGTCATCTTTGTCCTTTGACCTAGGAAATAGGGCATTGTTTTAGCCATTATTGAGAAGTCCATCTTAAATTGAATGTAATCAAATACATAGATAAGAAAACTACTCGAACATATTACCACTGTATGAGGAAAAACACTCAGAGATGTGCTGAATGCTGAGAAAGGGGAAGCAACTGTTTAAAGAGCAGGTGGTGCAGACTTTTCCCAGCCATAGCTCTTACCTGAATGCCATTACTTTGCAGCCAATATAAGCAGAGCCGATGCTGCTTTTTTGGAGTAGAGTGTCAACCTAGAAATTTAATAATAACATTTAAGCAAAATGTCATGGCAAAGGTAAGAGATTAGAGATATTAAAAGAACAGTGCCCAAGCAGGGCATCATTTTGCCAGACTCACATAATGGTATATGACTTTTTCTGTTGACTTGAACCTTTTAGAATTTGACATCACCAGATCTGTAGTGAACTGGAGGTTGGTTATAGTGAAATTCAGTGTGAAGTTCCTTACTGCTGGTGGCAGAGGTTGTGTACTTTGGTCAGCAGCTGTAATGAGCAAGGCAAATTATTGCTTGAATATACAATTTATGATCATCATGCCTAGAGGAAACACCATGAGAAAAATTCCCAGATATTCTACTTGGCTTCAGGGTCATAGTAGCTGTGGTTCCCTAACAGGCTCTCAAATTCTCTTAATACTGTTTTATAAGTCTAGTAGTGCTCTTGGTTAGTCCAACCGTCTTTTTTGGCTATTGCTAACTAGCAAAATCTTCTTGCCCTTTCAATTGCTATTTAAAGGTACTTACATAGTCCAGGCTGCAGTTCATTATAACCTGTGGGGGGAAGAAAAAGGGCAGTATTTGAGAAACAGGCTTACAGTTTGGAAGGTCTGGCACACAGTGGTGTACAGCATTTGAATTGGTTTAGTCTGGGAGATCCTGTGTACACATTTACTACAAAAGACTGATTTGATGACTGTCAAAGCATAAGTGCACGTTCATACTGCTGCATGTTGTTGGCAAGCTGCTGCTTTTCTTAGCAATGCACAGAATTGTCTCTTCCCTAGGGATGTTGACAGGGAATTTACCCATTGCCTAAATCCAATTTAACTTCTATATTGACAATTTCAGTATGACTTTTCTCAAGTGGTATCCGGTTCTAGTGCTGTTCCTCTGTAGGGGAACACATTCCACAGTGCACCTTGAGAGGCCAATCCTTATATTTTCTGGAGAATGACCTATGGTGTATTATGATATATTCTATTTGGTTAAGTTAGTTCAAAGGAATAATAAGGTGCAAAGGCTACGAGTGATGGTGGCTCCTCTGCTTTGATTAGTATTTGCTCTTGCTCTTTCCCCAGGTTTTATTGTTTCTGTAGTTATGTAGCAACTCAGTTCCTCCTAATATCAACAGTCAGGAGAGGATTCCCTCCTGACATCAGCTCAGCCACTTACCACTAACATAACAACTCGCTGCATCCAGCATGTAGGGTCCTAGCTCAGTGCAGCTGGCTGTCATCTTGCTGAACTCGTGATAAACCTTCATTCGATCAAATTCAGTAGTGGTAGCATTGGTTCTATATGTGCAGACTGCATCCATGGCAGTGCCCTCTCCGTTCCTCACAGACCTGAAAAATCACACATGTGTTTACAGGCCTGAGTGACACTTCTGTGCATTTGTTTAAGTTTGCTTGTACACTAACATGGAGTTGAATTTCCCCTTAAAATACTGTAAAACAATGTTATTAGATGAAAGAATGTCCTCAGATTCTGGAAACGTAGTATTATGTTGTCTTATACAATTGGAACAGGACTCCTGATCCAACTGAAATGCATTTAAAATTAGTCAGATTACCTTCTTTAGTACAAAATTGGTGTGAAATAAATGCAAGCTATCAGAAGAAATTAAGTAATAACCACCCCATTATAAGGGGTCATAAATGAGGTATATTTCTACTTGGCGCTCTAGAATTTAACAGGTTCTACCAGACTACAAGGAAACAAAATCGGGAAGGAATTGTATAAAAGATTTCTGCATAATCCTATTGTCAGCCAAAATTTGAATTGCCCTTGTCTTCTATAACATTTCCAGGATGTGCCTACCTTAGTGCCACCACTGCACACCCAGTGTAAGCAGGGCTAATGCTGCTGTTCTTGAGCACATGATCAAGCTGCCAAGAAAAAAAGCCACTTGATATGTTGCAGTGAATAAATAAGACCAATAAGAACATAGCTACAAGAGGAACTTGACTGGCACTCACCAAGTATGTCAGAGTTTTTTTTGTAGCAATAAATTTTTTGGAATTTGGGTTTCCTAAAGTTGGCGTGTAGAGGAGATTGGTCACAGTGAAGTTCACTGTGAAATGTCCCTCTCTTGCAAGAGGAGGAGCTGGAGATGCTGCTGCAAGAAAAGCATACAATTTGTGGCAACAAGAAAATGAATACTCATGAACCTGCTAAAGCTGGAGGTAAAGAAGCTCCTATCAGCTGAAATGAATGGGCACTATACTGAACAGCTCAGTATGGGATGATGATGCCAGCAACAGTGTAGAGCATACAGCTGTGGAGCAGATGGCTCTTCAGCTCATCCAGATGCCTACTGAAGGCCCATCATAGCTGGGCAGGCTGTGAACAGGTACCTGACCACTTCAGATGAGGAGCTGAGGTTAACATTACCTTCCCTTTTATCCTGGAGTGTACAAACCCTGAAGTCCTTTAACCACACTGGCCTGATCATCTACTTTTTCCTTGTAGTGTTGCTGCTGGAAGAGACTGAACTGCTTGTCAACATCAGTTATGCTCTAGTCTTCCAAGAGTGCAATTCTGTGTTTCTGCAAACAGGTCTACTCACACGGTCTTCTCTGACCTCCTATGTAAACTTGATCTAATTCAAATGCTTCATGAGACATTGATACCAGTGGTGCTTAGTAGTTAATTCCTCTCACTATTAAATGTTTGCACTTTATTTTTACTTCTACTTCCATTCAAAGGCTAAAAAAGAGAAGATATCTGAATAGACATTCGTCTCTATTGACACTTTGGGCATCATGGCTTTTCAATTACTTAAAAGTACTTACAAGGCAAGATCTGGGCTTCATGGTAATCTGGAAGGAGAAAGGACAAAGAAGTAATGAATTGTCTTACTAATGAGAGACAATAATTGAATCTGATATTTATGTAGTTGAACAATGCCATTGAAGGACAATAGATTTGCTGTTTTGAGCATTCACTTAAACTATTTATGATAGTACAGCAAGATGTTATTTTGAAGAAAGCTCCATTGTAAATGGTGGAGGAAGGTTCCCAATTTATGCTGAAATTAGTTTCTGTGACTACTTTTAAGATTTATGTGCTGCTTTGCATGTTTTGGTAACTTACCAGATGGTACTTAAAATGAAAAAAACCCTGTAACTGGCAGTGCAAAACCTCTGAAGGTAAATGGTGTTAGTTTGAGGAGAATTTGTGTAGATGATGGAGCTTTGTGAATTATCTAACACGTAAGTGGAGCCCAAGTATACATGTTGCAAATGCTATTCCATCTGTCCACTAGTCATTACTGTGCTTTAACTACAAGACACCTGTGGACTATTAGCCGAAGAATATCCCCACATCCACATGGATATCAACATTTTACCATTGATATACAAGCTTTCTTGGTCGAGGCTGTAGATTCCTAAGTGGGTGATGCCATTTGTCTTGTTGCTCACTTCCTGGTAAACAATCACTCGATCAAACTGGGAAGCATCAGAATCTATTTTGTAGGTACATACAGCATCTACTCCAGTGTCTTCAATCTTCTGTGCAGGTCTAGGGAAATTAGGATATATCTTGTTCTGTTCCAGAATCCAGTATTCATGATACATACTGATGTGATTTTAATTTACTTCAACAGTATTGCCAGGTAGGAAAAAAATATTTTTCTTTTCCATGATGATTCCTTGCAGTGTGTATCAAAATGGTGAGAACATACTTGACCATTAAGAAGCTGCAAGTATGAGTTCAAGTAAACTTATAAAGACAGTTGAAAAAAAAGTGTAATGATAACTTGGCTTCCTTGAATCAGGTAATAAATTAAAAGATGTAAAAGTGAATTAATGGATTATGATCAATTTCTGTATGATACTACATCATGAAAAGAAAAAATATCTTTTCTAAACCTAAATTATGCTTACCTGAAAGCCATTATTTTGCAGCCTGTATACACAGAATGAATACTAGTCTTTTTGAACAGCTGATTAAGCTGAAAAAGAATGTTTTACAAGTTAACCATATTGAGATGAGCAAAATATCACAAAAAAAAATAAAAAAAGGAATATATCACACTAACCAGAGCAGTCAGGACTCTAGCTGTAGCACTAAACTTGGCAGAATAGGGATTTCTGAGACTCCTAGAGTACTGGAGATTAGTTATAGTGAAATTCACTATGAACATCCCAGTTGTAGAAGATACAGCTGTAGCTGGAAGCAAAAGCCAAGGAAAAGTGAATGACAAATTAAAATTGATTGATTTATATCACTTTACTACAGTCCAGGGGGTTAAGTAACAATAAAAAATTTAGATGTTTTTTACTACTTCTTGTAAGAAAAAAATTACCACTAGCAGATAAGAAATTATATATGTGACATTACTGGTTTCTATTAAGATTATAGAAAATTTATAGATTTAGCTGAAAAAAGATGTGCTTCATTGTACTCTAAAAGGGAAAGGCATGTTCATAAAAGGTAAATATCTGCAAAGGTGAAAAATAACTCGCACACAACAAAGGAGAAAAAGCTTATAGATGGAAGACTTAAAATAACTGGACACTTAAAGCAAAAATACAAACTTGGGGGGGGGGGAAATTTTTATGGAATAAATGAGACAAGACATAAAACTGCATATCTATACAAAAAATATAAAAGAAAAAGAGAAAAAAAAAAATGGGGTAGGCTGGCAGTGTTCCTCTCTCTGCCGAGCATCAGGAGCCCTGTCTGCCAGAATCTTACGCGGGGGAGACGACCCCCGCGAGGCAGTTGCTGCCCTCGGAGCCCAGCCCGCTCCTGCAAGGTACTCACCGGGCAGGACTGGCTGCTCGTTGTAAGCTGGGAAAAGAGAGAGAGGGAGAGGGTCATGATCTGGAGCGGGGACGGCAAGGGGTAGGGGAGGCTGGTGCGGGATAGCAGAGGAGGCAGAGAGAGGAGCATAGGTCACCGTTGACGTAGAGGCTGTCCCTGTCCAGGCGGTAAGGGCCCAGCTGCGTGATGCCTCTGGTCCTGTTGCTGACTTCGTGGTAGAGGCCCACCCTGTCCAAGGGTGGGGCGGAGGGCTCCTTCGCGTAGGTGCAGACGGCGTCCACCCCCGTGCCGTCCCCTTGCCTGACGGGCCTGGAAGACACAGCACCGTGGCTGAGCACCCGTCCTCCGCGCCCTGGTGCTGCAAGGCCGGGCCTTGGGGCTTCCTCAGCCGTCCCTGCGCGGGAGCGAAAGCTCGGCCTTCCCACCCCGTGCACGCATGCGTGCGTGGAGGCTGGAGGCGGCTCTCCGGACACCGTTAACGCCCTGGGGCTGTTCAGGACGCGCGGGGCTAGGCAGGATTTAGAGTGGTCTTGGGACTACGTGGTAGAAGCCATGTGGCGAGGGGGCAGGCAGCAACGCTAGGTCCTGAGGCAGGAGTGCTTTACGGAGAAAGTCGTGCGGTGGGAGGGATTAGTGTTTAAATTGGTGAGGCAGGAGGGCATCAGGGAGAAGGTTGTGAGGCGGTAGGGATTGGAGGAGAAGGTCGTGAGTCAGTAGTGATTCAAGGATGTCTCAAGGCTGGAGGACATGAGGGAGAGGGTGGTGGGGTAGGAGGGATTCCAGGAGAAGGTCATGAGGTAGGAGGGATTCCAGGAGAAGGTCATGAGGTAGGAGGGATTCCAGGAGAAGGTCATGAGGTAGGAGGGATTCCAGGAGAAGGTCATGAGGTAGGAGGGATTCCAGGAGAAGGTCAAGAGGCAGGAAGGAGTCAGGGAGAGAAGGCCCTTCAGCCTTAGTGTAGGTGTCAAAAGAGCGTGGGATCGTGACGGGCCCCTCAGCTGATCGTGGGAACTGCAAAAGGACACTCGGGCACGACCCAGACCTGAAGGCTGTTGTTTCACATCCCAGGAAAGCGGGGCCAATGCTGCTGTCCTTCAGAAGGCGGTGAAGCTGCCGAGAAGACAGGTTTCAGAGTTAAGAGGCGGCCACCTCCCTGCGCTGCCCCAGTAGCTTTCTGGGGCTACCGTGGCACGGCCATTGCTGTGTGGTGGGCCGCTTACCAAGGTGGCCATGACTCTTCGCGTCGTGTTGAACTTGGCCGAGTCGGGAGTCGCCAGGTCGGAACTGTAGGGGAGGTTGGTGATGGTGAAGTTGATGGTGAAACGCTCGGGGGCTGCAGCGGTCGTAGGTGGGTGGGTGGGAGCTGCAAGAAGCACAGAGCGGGAGTGACGCCAGGGTGCCAGGGCTCTGGGTGGAGAATGGCAGAGGTCTCCTGCCAGCCAGCGCTCCTTCGCGGCCCTGCTCTGGATGGGGAAGGCTGGCAGGCTCCCCGCTTCTCCCGTGGATCAGGAGGCACGGTCGCCTGTTGGCTCTGCGTGGGAGACGACCCCCGCGAGGCAGTTGCTGCCCTCGGAGCCCAGCCCGCTCCTGCAAGGTACTCACCGGGCAGGACTGGCTGCTCGTTGTAACCTGGGAGAAGAGAGAGAGGGAGAGGGTCATGATCTGGAGCGGGGACGGCAAGGGGTAGGGGAGGCTGGCGCGGGATAGCAGAGGAGGCAGAGAGAGGAGCCTAGGTCACCGTTGACGTAGAGGCTGTCCCTGTCCAGGCGGTAAGGGCCCAGCTGCGTGATGCCTCTGGTCCTGTTGCTGACTTCGTGGTAGAGGCCCACCCTGTCCAAGGGTGGGGCGGAGGGCTCCTTCGCGTAGGTGCAGACGGCGTCCACCCCCGTGCCGTCCCCTTGCCTGACGGGCCTGGAAGACACAGCACCGTGGCTGAGCACCCGTCCTCCGCGCCCTGGTGCTTCAAGGCCGGGCCTTGGGGCATCCTCAGCCGTCCCTGCGCGGGAGCGAAAGCTCGGCCTTCCCACCCCGTGCATGCGTGCGTGCGTGGAGGCTGGAGGCGGCTCTCCGGCCACCGTTAACGCCCTGGGGCTGTTCAGGACGCGCGGGGCTAGGCAGGATTTAGAGTGGTCTTGGGACTACGTGGTATAAGCCATGTGGCGAGGGGGCAGGCAGCAACGCTAGGTCCTGAGGCAGGAGTGCTTTACGGAGAAAGTCGTGCGGTGGGAGGGATTAGTGTTTAAATTGGTGAGGCAGGAGGGCATCAGGGAGAAGGTTGTGAAGCGGTAGGGATTCCAGGAGAAGGTCGTGAGTCAGTAGTGATTCAAGGATGTCTCAAGGCTGGAGGACATGAGGGAGAGGGTGGTGGGGTAGGAGGGATTCCAGGAGAAGGACATGAGGTAGGAGGGATTCCAGGAGAAGGTCATGAGGTAGGAGGGATTCCAGGAGAAGGTCAAGAGACAGGAAGGAGTCAGGGAGAGAAGGCCCTTCAGCATTAGTGTAGGTGGCAAAAGAGCGTGGGATCGTGACGGGCCCCTCCACCGATCGTGGGAACTGCAAAAGGACACTCGGGCACGACCCAGACCTGAAGGCTGTTGTTTCACATCCCAGGAAAGCGGGGCCAATGCTGCTGTCCTTCAGAAGGCGGTGAAGCTGCCGAGAAGACAGGTTTCAGAGTTAAGAGGCGGCCACCTCCCTGCGCTGCCCCAGTAGCTTTCTGGGGCTACCGTGGCACGGCCATTGCTGTGTGGTGGGCCGCTTACCAAGGTGGCCATGACTCTTCGCGTCGTGTTGAACTTGGCCGAGTCGGGAGTCGCCAGGTCGGAACTGTAGGGGAGGTTGGTGATGGTGAAGTTGATGGTGAAACGCTCGGGGGCTGCAGCGGTCGTAGGTGGGTGGGTGGGAGCTGCAAGAAGCACAGAGCGGGAGTGACGCCAGGGTGCCAGGGCTCTGGGTGGAGAATGGCAGAGGTCTCCTGCCAGCCAGCGCTCCTTCGCGGCCCTGCTCTGGATGGGGAAGGCTGGCAGGCTCCCCGCTTCTCCCGTGGATCAGGAGGCATGATCGCCTGCTGGCTCTGCGTGGGAGACGACCCCCGCGAGGCAGTTGCTGCCCTCGGAGCCCAGCCCGCTCCTGCAAGGTACTCACCGGGCAGGACTGGCTGCTCGTTGTAAGCTGGGAGAAGAGAGAGAGGGAGAGGGTCATGATCTGGAGCGGGGACGGCAAGGGGTAGGGGAGGTGCCACGGGATAGCAGAGGAGGCAGAGAGAGGAGCATAGGTCACCGTTGACGTAGAGGCTGTCCCTGTCCAGGCGGTAAGGGCCCAGCTGCGTGATGCCTCTGGTCCTGTTGCTGACTTCGTGGTAGAGGCCCACCCTGTCCAAGGGTGGGGCGGAGGGCTCCTTCGCGTAGGTGCAGACGGCGTCCACTCCCGTGCCGTCCCCTTGCCTGACGGGCCTGGAAGACACAGCACCGTGGCTGAGCACCCGTCCTCCGCGCCCTGGTGCTGCAAGGCCGGGCCTTGGGGCTTCCTCAGCCGTCCCTGCGTGGGAGCGAAAGCTCGGCCTTCCCACCCTGTGCGTGCGTGCGTGCGTGCGTGGAGGCTGGAGGCGGCTCTCCGGCCACCGTTAACGCCCTGGGGCTGTTCAGGACGCGCGGGGCTAGGCAGGATTTAGAGTGGTCTTGGGACTACGTGGTATAAGCCATGTGGCGAGGGGGCAGGCAGCAACGCTAGGTCCTGAGGCAGGAGTGCTTTACGGAGAAAGTCGTGCGGTGGGAGGGATTAGTGTTTAAATTGGTGAGGCAGGAGGGCATCAGGGAGAAGGTTGTGAGGCGGTAGGGATTGGAGGAGAAGGTCGTGAGTCAGTAGTGATTCAAGGATGTCTCAAGGCTGGAGGACATGAGGGAGAGGGTGGTGGGGTAGGAGGGATTCCAGGAGAAGGTCATGAGGTAGGAGGGATTCCAGGAGAAGGTCATGAGGTAGGAGGGATTCCAGGAGAAGGTCAAGAGGCAGGAAGGAGTCAGGGAGAGAAGGCCCTTCAGCCTTAGTGTAGGTGGCAAAAGAGCGTGGGATCGTGACGGGCCCCTCCACCGATCGTGGGAACTGCAAAAGGACACTCGGGCACGACCCAGACCTGAAGGCTGTTGTTTCACATCCCAGGAAAGCGGGGCCAATGCTGCTGTCCTTCAGAAGGCGGTGAAGCTGCCGAGAAGACAGGTTTCAGAGTTAAGAGGCGGCCACCTCCCTGCGCTGCCCCAGTAGCTTTCTGGGGCTACCGTGGCACGGCCATTGCTGTGTGGTGGGCCGCTTACCAAGGTGGCCATGACTCTTCGCGTCGTGTTGAACTTGGCCGAGTCGGGAGTCGCCAGGTCGGAACTGTAGGGGAGGTTGGTGATGGTGAAGTTGATGGTGAATCGCTCGGGGGCTGCAGCGGTCGTAGGTGGGTGGGTGGGAGCTGCAAGAAGCACAGAGCGGGAGTGACGCCAGGGTGCCAAGGCTCTGGGTGGAGAATGGCAGAGGTCTCCTGCCAGCCAGCGCTCCTTCGCGGCCCTGCTCTGGATGGGGAAGGCTGGCAGGCTCCCCGCTTCTCCCGGGGATCAGGAGGCATGGTCGCCTGCTGGCTCTGCGTGGGAGACGACCCCCGCGAGGCAGTTGCTGCCCTCGGAGCCCAGCCCGCTCCTGCAAGGTACTCACCGGGCAGGACTGGCTGCTCGTTGTAAGCTGGGAGAAGAGAGAGAGGGAGAGGGTCATGATCTGGAGCTGGGACGGCAAGGGGTAGGGGAGGCTGGCGCGGGATAGCAGAGGAGGCAGAGAGAGGAGCATAGGTCACCGTTGACGTAGAGGCTGTCCCTGTCCAGGCGGTAAGGGCCCAGCTGCGTGATGCCTCTGGTCCTGTTGCTGACTTCGTGGTAGAGGCCCACCCTGTCCAAGGGTGGGGCGGAGGGCTCCTTCGCGTAGGTGCAGACGGCGTCCACCCCCGTGCCGTCCCCTTGCCTGACGGGCCTGGAAGACACAGCACCGTGGCTGAGCACCCGTCCTCCGCGCCCTGGTGCTGCAAGGCCGGGCCTTGGGGTTTCCTCAGCCGTCCCTGCGCGGGAGCGAAAGCTCGGCCTTCCCACCCCGTGCATGCGTGCGAGCGTGGAGGCTGGAGGCGGCTCTCCGGCCACCGTTAACGCCCTTGGGCTGTTCAGGATGCGCGGGGCTAGGCAGGATTTAGAGTGGTCTTGGGACTACATGGGATAAGCCATATGGCGAGGGGGCAGGCAGCAACGCTAGGTCCTGAGGCAGGAGTGCTTTACGGAGAAAGTCGTGCGGTGGGAGGGATTAGTGTTTAAATTGGTGAGGCAGGAGGGCATCAGGGAGAAGGTTGTGAGGCGGTAGGGATTGGAGGAGAAGGTCGTGAGTCAGTAGTGATTCAAGGATGTCTCAAGGCTGGAGGACATGAGGGAGAGGGTGGTGGGGTAGGAGGGATTCCAGGAGAAGGTCATGAGGTAGGAGGGATTCCAGGAGAAGGTCATGAGGTAGGAGGGATTCCAGGAGAAGGTCATGAGGTAGGAGGGATTCCAGGAGAAGGTCAAGAGGCAGGAAGGAGTCAGGGAGAGAAGGCCCTTCATCCTTAGCGTAGGTGGCAAAAGAGCGTGGGATCGTGACGGGCCCCTCCACCGATCGTGGGAACTGCAAAAGGACACTCGGGCACGACCCAGACCTGAAGGCTGTTGTTTCACATCCCAGGAAAGCGGGGCCAATGCTGCTGTCCTTCAGAAGGCGGTGAAGCTGCCGAGAAGACAGGTTTCAGAGTTAAGAGGCGGCCACCTCCCTGCGCTGCCCCAGTAGCTTTCTGGGGCTACCGTGGCACGGCCATTGCTGTGTGGTGGGCCGCTTACCAAGGTGGCCATGACTCTTCGCGTCGTGTTGAACTTGGCCGAGTCGGGAGTCGCCAGGTCGGAACTGTAGGGGAGGTTGGTGATGGTGAAGTTGATGGTGAAACGCTCGGGGGCTGCAGCGGTCGTAGGTGGGTGGGTGGGAGCTGCAAGAAGCACAGACCGGGAGTGACGCCAGGGTGCCAGGGCTCTGGGTGGAGAATGGCAGAGGTCTCCTGCCAGCCACCGCTCCTTCGCGGCCCTGCTCTGGATGGGGAAGGCTGGCAGGCTCCCCGCTTCTCCCGGGGATCAGGAGGCATGGTCGCCTGTTGGCTCTGCGTGGGAGACGACCCCCGCGAGGCAGTTGCTGCCCTCGGAGCCCAGCCCGCTCCTGCAAGGTACTCACCGGGCAGGACTGGCTGCTCGTTGTAAGCTGGGAAAAGAGAGAGAGGGAGAGGGTCATGATCTGGAGCTGGGACGGCAAGGGGTAGGGGAGGCTGGCGCGGGATAGCAGAGGAGGCAGAGAGAGGAGCATAGGTCACCGTTGACGTAGAGGCTGTCCCTGTCCAGGCGGTAAGGGCCCAGCTGCGTGATGCCTCTGGTCCTGTTGCTGACTTCGTGGTAGAGGCCCACCCTGTCCAAGGGTGGGGCGGAGGGCTCCTTCGCGTAGGTGCAGACGGCGTCCACCCCCGTGCCGTCCCCTTGCCTGACGGGCCTGGAAGACACAGCACCGTGGCTGAGCACCCGTCCTCTGCGCCCTGGTGCTGCAAGGCCGGGCCTTGGGGCTTCCTCAGCCGTCCCTGCGTGGAGCGAAAGCTCGGCCTTCCCACCCCGTGCACGCGTGCGTGCGTGGAGGCTGGAGGCGGCTCTCCGGCCACCGTTAACGCCCTTGGGCTGTTCAGGACGCGCGGGGCTAGGCAGGATTTAGAGTGGTCTTGGGACTACGTGGTATAAGCCATGTGGCGAGGGGGCAGGCAGCAACGCTAGGTCCTGAGGCAGGAGTGCTTTACGGAGAAAGTCGTGCGGTGGGAGGGATTAGTGTTTAAATTGGTGAGGCAGGAGGGCATCAGGGAGAAGGTTGTGAGGCGGTAGGGATTGGAGGAGAAGGTCGTGAGTCAGTAGTGATTCAAGGATGTCTCAAGGCTGGAGGACATGAGGGAGAGGGTGGTGGGGTAGGAGGGATTCCAGGAGAAGGTCATGAGGTAGGAGGGATTCCAGGAGAAGGTCATGAGGTAGGAGGGATTCCAGGAGAAGGTCGTGAGGTAGGAGGGATTCCAGGAGAAGGTCAAGAGGCAGGAAGGAGTCAGGGAGAGAAGGCCCTTCAGCCTTAGTGTAGGTGGCAAAAGAGCGTGGGATCGTGACGGGCCCCTCAGCTGATCGTGGGAACTGCAAAAGGACACTCGGGCACGACCCAGACCTGAAGGCTGTTGTTTCACATCCCAGGAAAGCGGGGCCAATGCTGCTGTCCTTCAGAAGGCGGTGAAGCTGCCGAGAAGACAGGTTTCAGAGTTAAGAGGCGGCCACCTCCCTGCGCTGCCCCAGTAGCTTTCTGGGGCTACCGCGGCACGGCCATTGCTGTGTGGTGGGCCGCTTACCAAGGTGGCCATGACTCTTCGCGTCGTGTTGAACTTGGCCGAGTCGGGAGTCGCCAGGTCGGAACTGTAGGGGAGGTTGGTGATGGTGAAGTTGATGGTGAAACGCTCGGGGGCTGCAGCGGTCGTAGGTGGGTGGGTGGGAGCTGCAAGAAGCACAGAGCGGGAGTGACGCCAGGGTGCCAAGGCTCTGGGTGGAGAATGGCAGAGGTCTCCTGCCAGCCACCGCTCCTTCGCGGCCCTGCTCTGGATGGGGAAGGCTGGCAGGCTCCCCGCTTCTCCCGGGGATCAGGAGGCACGGTCGCCTGCTGGCTCTGCGTGGGAGACGACCCCCGCGAGGCAGTTGCTGCCCTCGGAGCCCAGCCCGCTCCTGCAAGGTACTCACCGGGCAGGACTGGCTGCTCGTTGTAAGCTGGGAAAAGAGAGAGAGGGAGAGGGTCATGATCTGGAGCTGGGACGGCAAGGGGTAGGGGAGGCTGGCGCGGGATAGCAGAGGAGGCAGAGAGAGGAGCATAGGTCACCGTTGACGTAGAGGCTGTCCCTGTCCAGGCGGTAAGGGCCCAGCTGCGTGATGCCTCTGGTCCTGTTGCTGACTTCGTGGTAGAGGCCCACCCTGTCCAAGGGTGGGGCGGAGGGCTCCTTCGCGTAGGTGCAGACGGCGTCCACCCCCGTGCCGTCCCCTTGCCTGACGGGCCTGGAAGACACAGCACCGTGGCTGAGCACCCGTCCTCCGCGCCCTGGTGCTGCAAGGCCGGGCCTTGGGGCTTCCTCAGCCGTCCCTGCGCGGGAGCGAAAGCTCGGCCTTCCCACCCCGTGCACGCGTGCGTGCGTGGAGGCTGGAGGCGGCTCTCCGGCCACCGTTAACGCCCTTGGGCTGTTCAGGACGCGCGGGGCTAGGCAGGATTTAGAGTGGTCTTGGGACTACGTGGTATAAGCCATGTGGCGAGGGGGCAGGCAGCAACGCTAGGTCCTGAGGCAGGAGTGCTTTACGGAGAAAGTCGTGCGGTGGGAGGGATTAGTGTTTAAATTGGTGAGGCAGGAGGGCATCAGGGAGAAGGTTGTGAGGCGGTAGGGATTGGAGGAGAAGGTCGTGAGTCAGTAGTGATTCAAGGATGTCTCAAGGCTGGAGGACATGAGGGAGAGGGTGGTGGGGTAGGAGGGATTCCAGGAGAAGGTCATGAGGTAGGAGGGATTCCAGGAGAAGGTCATGAGGTAGGAGGGATTCCAGGAGAAGGTCGTGAGGTAGGAGGGATTCCAGGAGAAGGTCAAGAGGCAGGAAGGAGTCAGGGAGAGAAGGCCCTTCAGCCTTAGTGTAGGTGGCAAAAGAGCGTGGGATCGTGACGGGCCCCTCAGCTGATCGTGGGAACTGCAAAAGGACACTCGGGCACGACCCAGACCTGAAGGCTGTTGTTTCACATCCCAGGAAAGCGGGGCCAATGCTGCTGTCCTTCAGAAGGCGGTGAAGCTGCCGAGAAGACAGGTTTCAGAGTTAAGAGGCGGCCACCTCCCTGCGCTGCCCCAGTAGCTTTCTGGGGCTACCGTGGCACGGCCATTGCTGTGTGGTGGGCCGCTTACCAAGGTGGCCATGACTCTTCGCGTCGTGTTGAACTTGGCCGAGTCGGGAGTCGCCAGGTCGGAACTGTAGGGGAGGTTGGTGATGGTGAAGTTGATGGTGAAACGCTCGGGGGCTGCAGCGGTCGTAGGTGGGTGGGTGGGAGCTGCAAGAAGCACAGACCGGGAGTGACGCCAGGGTGCCAAGGCTCTGGGTGGAGAATGGCAGAGGTCTCCTGCCAGCCACCGCTCCTTCGCGGCCCTGCTCTGGATGGGGAAGGCTGGCAGGCTCCCCGCTTCTCCCGGGGATCAGGAGGCACGGTCGCCTGCTGGCTCTGCGTGGGAGACGACCCCCGCGAGGCAGTTGCTGCCCTCGGAGCCCAGCCCGCTCCTGCAAGGTACTCACCGGGCAGGACTGGCTGCTCGTTGTAAGCTGGAAAAGAGAGAGAGGGAGAGGGTCATGATCTGGAGCGGGGACGGCAAGGGGTAGGGGAGGCTGGCGCGGGATAGCAGAGGAGGCAGAGAGAGGAGCATAGGTCACCGTTGACGTAGAGGCTGTCCCTGTCCAGGCGGTAAGGGCCCAGCTGCGTGATGCCTCTGGTCCTGTTGCTGACTTCGTGGTAGAGGCCCACCCTGTCCAAGGGTGGGGCGGAGGGCTCCTTCGCGTAGGTGCAGACGGCGTCCACCCCCGTGCCGTCCCCTTGCCTGACGGGCCTGGAAGACACAGCACCGTGGCTGAGCACCCGTCCTCCGCGCCCTGGTGCTGCAAGGCCGGGCCTTGGGGCTTCCTCAGCCGTCCCTGCGCGGGAGCGAAAGCTCGGCCTTCCCACCCCGTGCACGCGTGCGTGCGTGGAGGCTGGAGGCGGCTCTCCGGCCACCGTTAACGCCCTTGGGCTGTTCAGGACGCGCGGGGCTAGGCAGGATTTAGAGTGGTCTTGGGACTACGTGGTATAAGCCATGTGGCGAGGGGGCAGGCAGCAACGCTAGGTCCTGAGGCAGGAGTGCTTTACGGAGAAAGTCGTGCGGTGGGAGGGATTAGTGTTTAAATTGGTGAGGCAGGAGGGCATCAGGGAGAAGGTTGTGAGGCGGTAGGGATTGGAGGAGAAGGTCGTGAGTCAGTAGTGATTCAAGGATGTCTCAAGGCTGGAGGACATGAGGGAGAGGGTGGTGGGGTAGGAGGGATTCCAGGAGAAGGTCATGAGGTAGGAGGGATTCCAGGAGAAGGTCATGAGGTAGGAGGGATTCCAGGAGAAGGTCGTGAGGTAGGAGGGATTCCAGGAGAAGGTCAAGAGGCAGGAAGGAGTCAGGGAGAGAAGGCCCTTCAGCCTTAGTGTAGGTGGCAAAAGAGCGTGGGATCGTGACGGGCCCCTCAGCTGATCGTGGGAACTGCAAAAGGACACTCGGGCACGACCCAGACCTGAAGGCTGTTGTTTCACATCCCAGGAAAGCGGGGCCAATGCTGCTGTCCTTCAGAAGGCGGTGAAGCTGCCGAGAAGACAGGTTTCAGAGTTAAGAGGCGGCCACCTCCCTGCGCTGCCCCAGTAGCTTTCTGGGGCTACCGCGGCACGGCCATTGCTGTGTGGTGGGCCGCTTACCAAGGTGGCCATGACTCTTCGCGTCGTGTTGAACTTGGCCGAGTCGGGAGTCGCCAGGTCGGAACTGTAGGGGAGGTTGGTGATGGTGAAGTTGATGGTGAAACGCTCGGGGGCTGCAGCGGTCGTAGGTGGGTGGGTGGGAGCTGCAAGAAGCACAGACCGGGAGTGACGCCAGGGTGCCAAGGCTCTGGGTGGAGAATGGCAGAGGTCTCCTGCCAGCCACCGCTCCTTCGCGGCCCTGCTCTGGATGGGGAAGGCTGGCAGGCTCCCCGCTTCTCCCGGGGATCAGGAGGCACGGTCGCCTGCTGGCTCTGCGTGGGAGACGACCCCCGCGAGGCAGTTGCTGCCCTCGGAGCCCAGCCCGCTCCTGCAAGGTACTCACCGGGCAGGACTGGCTGCTCGTTGTAAGCTGGAAAAGAGAGAGAGGGAGAGGGTCATGATCTGGAGCGGGGACGGCAAGGGGTAGGGGAGGCTGGCGCGGGATAGCAGAGGAGGCAGAGAGAGGAGCATAGGTCACCGTTGACGTAGAGGCTGTCCCTGTCCAGGCGGTAAGGGCCCAGCTGCGTGATGCCTCTGGTCCTGTTGCTGACTTCGTGGTAGAGGCCCACCCTGTCCAAGGGTGGGGCGGAGGGCTCCTTCGCGTAGGTGCAGATGGCGTCCACCCCCGTGCCGTCCCCTTGCCTGACGGGCCTGGAAGACACAGCACCGTGGCTGAGCACCCGTCCTCCGCGCCCTGGTGCTGCAAGGCCGGGCCTTGGGGCTTCCTCAGCCGTCCCTGCGCGGGAGCGAAAGCTCGGCCTTCCCACCCCGTGCACGCGTGCGTGCGTGGAGGCTGGAGGCGGCTCTCCGGCCACCGTTAACGCCCTTGGGCTGTTCAGGACGCGCGGGGCTAGGCAGGATTTAGAGTGGTCTTGGGACTACGTGGTATAAGCCATGTGGCGAGGGGGCAGGCAGCAACGCTAGGTCCTGAGGCAGGAGTGCTTTACGGAGAAAGTCGTGCGGTGGGAGGGATTAGTGTTTAAATTGGTGAGGCAGGAGGGCATCAGGGAGAAGGTTGTGAGGCGGTAGGGATTGGAGGAGAAGGTCGTGAGTCAGTAGTGATTCAAGGATGTCTCAAGGCTGGAGGACATGAGGGAGAGGGTGGTGGGGTAGGAGGGATTCCAGGAGAAGGTCATGAGGTAGGAGGGATTCCAGGAGAAGGTCATGAGGTAGGAGGGATTCCAGGAGAAGGTCGTGAGGTAGGAGGGATTCCAGGAGAAGGTCAAGAGGCAGGAAGGAGTCAGGGAGAGAAGGCCCTTCATCCTTAGTGTAGGTGGCAAAAGAGCGTGGGATCGTGACGGGCCCCTCAGCTGATCGTGGGAACTGCAAAAGGACACTCGGGCACGACCCAGACCTGAAGGCTGTTGTTTCACATCCCAGGAAAGCGGGGCCAATGCTGCTGTCCTTCAGAAGGCGGTGAAGCTGCCGAGAAGACAGGTTTCAGAGTTAAGAGGCGGCCACCTCCCTGCGCTGCCCCAGTAGCTTTCTGGGGCTACCGTGGCACGGCCATTGCTGTGTGGTGGGCCGCTTACCAAGGTGGCCATGACTCTTCGCGTCGTGTTGAACTTGGCCGAGTCGGGAGTCGCCAGGTCGGAACTGTAGGGGAGGTTGGTGATGGTGAAGTTGATGGTGAAACGCTCGGGGGCTGCAGCGGTCGTAGGTGGGTGGGTGGGAGCTGCAAGAAGCACAGACCGGGAGTGACGCCAGGGTGCCAAGGCTCTGGGTGGAGAATGGCAGAGGTCTCCTGCCAGCCACCGCTCCTTCGTGGCCCTGCTCTGGATGGGGAAGGCTGGCAGGCTCCCCGCTTCTCCCGGGGATCAGGAGGCATGGTCGCCTGCTGGCTCTGCGTGGGAGACGACCCCCGCGAGGCAGTTGCTGCCCTCGGAGCCCAGCCCGCTCCTGCAAGGTACTCACCGGGCAGGACTGGCTGCTCGTTGTAAGCTGGAAAAGAGAGAGAGGGAGAGGGTCATGATCTGGAGCGGGGACGGCAAGGGGTAGGGGAGGTGCCGCGGGATAGCAGAGGAGGCAGAGAGAGGAGCATAGGTCACCGTTGACGTAGAGGCTGTCCCTGTCCAGGCGGTAAGGGCCCAGCTGCGTGATGCCTCTGGTCCTGTTGCTGACTTCGTGGTAGAGGCCCACCCTGTCCAAGGGTGGGGCGGAGGGCTCCTTCGCGTAGGTGCAGACGGCGTCCACCCCCGTGCCGTCCCCTTGCCTGACGGGCCTGGAAGACACAGCACCGTGGCTGAGCACCCGTCCTCCGCGCCCTGGTGCTTCAAGGCCGGGCCTTGGGGCTTCCTCAGCCGTCCCTGCGCGGGAGCGAAAGCTCGGCCTTCCCACCCCGTGCACGCGTGCGTGCGTGGAGGCTGGAGGCGGCTCTCCGGCCACCGTTAACGCCCTGGGGCTGTTCAGGACGCGCGGGGCTAGGCAGGATTTAGAGTGGTCTTGGGACTACGTGGTATAAGCCATGTGGCGAGGGGGCAGGCAGCAACGCTAGGTCCTGAGGCAGGAGTGCTTTACGGAGAAAGTCGTGCGGTGGGAGGGATTAGTGTTTAAATTGGTGAGGCAGGAGGGCATCAGGGAGAAGGTTGTGAGGCGGTAGGGATTCCAGGAGAAGGTCGTGAGTCAGTAGTGATTCAAGGATGTCTCAAGGCTGGAGGACATGAGGGAGAGGGTGGTGGGGTAGGAGGGATTCCAGGAGAAGGTCATGAGGTAGGAGGGATTCCAGGAGAAGGTCATGAGGTAGGAGGGATTCCAGGAGAAGGTCAAGAGACAGGAAGGAGTCAGGGAGAGAAGGCCCTTCAGCCTTAGTGTAGGTGGCAAAAGAGCGTGGGATCGTGACGGGCCCCTCCACCGATCGTGGGAACTGCAAAAGGACACTCGGGCACGACCCAGACCTGAAGGCTGTTGTTTCACATCCCAGGAAAGCGGGGCCAATGCTGCTGTCCTTCAGAAGGCGGTGAAGCTGCCGAGAAGACAGGTTTCAGAGTTAAGAGGCGGCCACCTCCCTGCGCTGCCCCAGTAGCTTTCTGGGGCTACCGTGGCACGGCCATTGCTGTGTGGTGGGCCGCTTACCAAGGTGGCCATGACTCTTCGCGTCGTGTTGAACTTGGCCGAGTCGGGAGTCGCCAGGTCGGAACTGTAGGGGAGGTTGGTGATGGTGAAGTTGATGGTGAAACGCTCGGGGGCTGCAGCGGTCGTAGGTGGGTGGGTGGGAGCTGCAAGAAGCACAGAGCGGGAGTGACGCCAGGGTGCCAGGGCTCTGGGTGGAGAATGGCAGAGGTCTCCTGCCAGCCAGCGCTCCTTCGCGGCCCTGCTCTGGATGGGGAAGGCTGGCAGGCTCCCCGCTTCTCCCGTGGATCAGGAGGCATGGTCGCCTGCTGGCTCTGCGTGGGAGACGACCCCCGCGAGGCAGTTGCTGCCCTCGGAGCCCAGCCCGCTCCTGCAAGGTACTCACCGGGCAGGACTGGCTGCTCGTTGTAAGCTGGGAGAAGAGAGAGAGGGAGAGGGTCATGATCTGGAGCGGGGACGGCAAGGGGTAGGGGAGGTGCCGCGGGATAGCAGAGGAGGCAGAGAGAGGAGCATAGGTCACCGTTGACGTAGAGGCTGTCCCTGTCCAGGCGGTAAGGGCCCAGCTGCGTGATGCCTCTGGTCCTGTTGCTGACTTCGTGGTAGAGGCCCACCCTGTCCAAGGGTGGGGCGGAGGGCTCCTTCGCGTAGGTGCAGACGGCGTCCACTCCCGTGCCGTCCCCTTGCCTGACGGGCCTGGAAGACACAGCACCGTGGCTGAGCACCCGTCCTCCGCGCCCTGGTGCTGCAAGGCCGGGCCTTGGGGCTTCCTCAGCCGTCCCTGCGCGGGAGCGAAAGCTCGGCCTTCCCACCCCGTGCACGCGTGCGTGCGTGGAGGCTGGAGGCGGCTCTCCGGCCACCGTTAACGCCCTGGGGCTGTTCAGGACGCGCGGGGGCTAGGCAGGATTTAGAGTGGTCTTGGGACTACCTGGTATAAGCCATATGGCGAGGGGGCAGGCAGCAACGCTAGGTCCTGAGGCAGGAGTGCTTTACGGAGAAAGTCGTGCGGTGGGAGGGATTAGTGTTTAAATTGGTGAGGCAGGAGGGCATCAGGGAGAAGGTTGTGAGGCGGTAGGGATTGGAGGAGAAGGTCGTGAGTCAGTAGTGATTCAAGGATGTCTCAAGGCTGGAGGACATGAGGGAGAGGGTGGTGGGGTAGGAGGGATTCCAGGAGAAGGTCGTGAGTTAGGAGGGATTCCAGGAGAAGGTCATGAGGTAGGAGGGATTCCAGGAGAAGGTCAAGAGGCAGGAAGGAGTCAGGGAGAGAAGGCCCTTCATCCTTAGTGTAGGTGTCAAAAGAGCGTGGGATCGTGACGGGCCCCTCAGCTGATCGTGGGAACTGCAAAAGGACACTCGGGCACGACCCAGACCTGAAGGCTGTTGTTTCACATCCCAGGAAAGCGGGGCCAATGCTGCTGTCCTTCAGAAGGCGGTGAAGCTGCCGAGAAGACAGGTTTCAGAGTTAAGAGGCGGCCACCTCCCTGCGCTGCCCCAGTAGCTTTCTGGGGCTACCGTGGCACGGCCATTGCTGTGTGGTGGGCCGCTTACCAAGGTGGCCATGACTCTTCGCGTCGTGTTGAACTTGGCCGAGTCGGGAGTCGCCAGGTCGGAACTGTAGTGGAGGTTGGTGATGGTGAAGTTGATGGTGAAACGCTCGGGGGCTGCAGCGGTCGTAGGTGGGTGGGTGGGAGCTGCAAGAAGCACAGAGCGGGAGTGACGCCAGGGTGCCAAGGCTCTGGGTGGAGAATGGCAGAGGTCTCCTGCCAGCCAGCGCTCCTTCGCGGCCCTGCTCTGGATGGGGAAGGCTGGCAGGCTCCCCGCTTCTCCCGCGGATCAGGAGGCATGGTCGCCTGTTGGCTCTGCGTGGGAGACGACCCCCGCGAGGCAGTTGCTGCCCTCGGAGCCCAGCCCGCTCCTGCAAGGTACTCACCGGGCAGGACTGGCTGCTCGTTGTAAGCTGGGAAAAGAGAGAGAGGGAGAGGGTCATGATCTGGAGCGGGGACGGCAAGGGGTAGGGGAGGCTGGCGCGGGATAGCAGAGGAGGCAGAGAGAGGAGCATAGGTCACCGTTGACGTAGAGGCTGTCCCTGTCCAGGCGGTAAGGGCCCAGCTGCGTGATGCCTCTGGTCCTGTTGCTGACTTCGTGGTAGAGGCCCACCCTGTCCAAGGGTGGGGCGGAGGGCTCCTTCGCGTAGGTGCAGACGGCGTCCACCCCCGTGCCGTCCCCTTGCCTGACGGGCCTGGAAGACACAGCACCGTGGCTGAGCACCCGTCCTCCGCGCCCTGGTGCTGCAAGGCCGGGCCTTGGGGCTTCCTCAGCCGTCCCTGCGCGGGAGCGAAAGCTCGGCCTTCCCACCCCGTGCACGCGTGCGTGCGTGGAGGCTGGAGGCGGCTCTCCGGCCACCGTTAACGCCCTGGGGCTGTTCAGGACGCGCGGGGCTAGGCAGGATTTAGAGTGGTCTTGGGACTACGTGGTAGAAGCCATGTGGCGAGGGGGCAGGCAGCAACGCTAGGTCCTGAGGCAGGAGTGCTTTACGGAGAAAGTCGTGCGGTGGGAGGGATTAGTGTTTAAATTGGTGAGGCAGGAGGGCATCAGGGAGAAGGTTGTGAGGCGGTAGGGATTGGAGGAGAAGGTCGTGAGTCAGTAGTGATTCAAGGATGTCTCAAGGCTGGAGGACATGAGGGAGAGGGTGGTGGGGTAGGAGGGATTCCAGGAGAAGGTCATGAGGTAGGAGGGATTCCAGGAGAAGGTCGTGAGGTAGGAGGGATTCCAGGAGAAGGTCATGAGGTAGGAGGGATTCCAGGAGAAGGTCATGAGGTAGGAGGGATTCCAGGAGAAGGTCATGAGGTAGGAGGGATTCCAGGAGAAGGTCAAGAGGCAGGAAGGAGTCAGGGAGAGAAGGCCCTTCAGCCTTAGTGTAGGTGTCAAAAGAGCGTGGGATCGTGACGGGCCCCTCAGCTGATCGTGGAACTGCAAAAGGACACTCGGGCACGACCCAGACCTGAAGGCTGTTGTTTCACATCCCAGGAAAGCGGGGCCAATGCTGCTGTCCTTCAGAAGGCGGTGAAGCTGCCGAGAAGACAGGTTTCAGAGTTAAGAGGCGGCCACCTCCCTGCGCTGCCCCAGTAGCTTTCTGGGGCTACCGCGGCACGGCCATTGCTGTGTGGTGGGCCGCTTACCAAGGTGGCCATGACTCTTCGCGTCGTGTTGAACTTGGCCGAGTCGGGAGTCGCCAGGTCGGAACTGTAGGGAGGTTGGTGATGGTGAAGTTGATGGTGAATCGCTCGGGGGCTGCAGCGGTCGTAGGTGGGTGGGTGGGAGCTGCAAGAAGCACAGACCGGGAGTGACGCCAGGGTGCCAAGGCTCTGGGTGGAGAATGGCAGAGGTCTCCTGCCAGCCAGCGCTCCTTTGCGGCCCTGCTCTGGATGGGGAAGGCTGGCAGGCTCCCCGCTTCTCCCGGGGATCAGGAGGCATGGTCGCCTGCTGGCTCTGCGTGGGAGACGACCCCCGCGAGGCAGTTGCTGCCCTCGGAGCCCAGCCCGCTCCTGCAAGGTACTCACCGGGCAGGACTGGCTGCTCGTTGTAAGCTGGGAAAAGAGAGAGAGGCAGAGGGTCATGATCTGGAGCGGGGACGGCAAGGGGTAGGGGAGGCTGGCGCGGGATAGCAGAGGAGGCAGAGAGAGGAGCACAGGTCACCGTTGACGTAGAGGCTGTCCCTGTCCAGGCGGTAAGGGCCCAGCTGCGTGATGCCTCTGGTCCTGTTGCTGACTTCGTGGTAGAGGCCCACCCTGTCCAAGGGTGGGGCGGAGGGCTCCTTCGCGTAGGTGCAGACGGCGTCCACCCCCGTGCCGTCCCCTTGCCTGACGGGCCTGGAAGACACAGCACCGTGGCTGAGCACCCGTCCTCCGCGCCCTGGTGCTGCAAGGCCGGGCCTTGGGGCTTCCTCAGCCGTCCCTGCGCGGGAGCGAAAGCTCGGCCTTCCCACCCCGTGCACGCGTGCGTGCGTGGAGGCTGGAGGCGGCTCTCCGGCCACCGTTAACGCCCTGGGGCTGTTCAGGACGCGCGGGGCTAGGCAGGATTTAGAGTGGTCTTGGGACTACGTGGTAGAAGCCATGTGGCGAGGGGGCAGGCAGCAACGCTAGGTCCTGAGGCAGGAGTGCTTTACGGAGAAAGTCGTGCGGTGGGAGGGATTAGTGTTTAAATTGGTGAGGCAGGAGGGCATCAGGGAGAAGGTTGTGAGGCGGTAGGGATTGGAGGAGAAGGTCGTGAGTCAGTAGTGATTCAAGGATGTCTCAAGGCTGGAGGACATGAGGGAGAGGGTGGTGGGGTAGGAGGGATTCCAGGAGAAGGTCATGAGGTAGGAGGGATTTCAGGAGAAGGTCATGAGGTAGGAGGGATTCCAGGAGAAGGTCGTGAGGTAGGAGGGATTCCAGGAGAAGGTCAAGAGGCAGGAAGGAGTCAGGGAGAGAAGGCCCTTCAGCCTTAGTGTAGGTGGCAAAAGAGCGTGGGATCGTGACGGGCCCCTCAGCTGATCGTGGGAACTGCAAAAGGACACTCGGGCACGACCCAGACCTGAAGGCTGTTGTTTCACATCCCAGGAAAGCGGGGCCAATGCTGCTGTCCTTCAGAAGGCGGTGAAGCTGCCGAGAAGACAGGTTTCAGAGTTAAGAGGCGGCCACCTCCCTGCGCTGCCCCAGTAGCTTTCTGGGGCTACCGCGGCACGGCCATTGCTGTGTGGTGGGCCGCTTACCAAGGTGGCCATGACTCTTCGCGTCGTGTTGAACTTGGCCGAGTCGGGAGTCGCCAGGTCGGAACTGTAGGGGAGGTTGGTGATGGTGAAGTTGATGGTGAAACGCTCGGGGGCTGCAGCGGTCGTAGGTGGGTGGGTGGGAGCTGCAAGAAGCACAGAGCGGGAGTGACGCCAGGGTGCCAGGGCTCTGGGTGGAGAATGGCAGAGGTCTCCTGCCAGCCAGCGCTCCTTCGCGGCCCTGCTCTGGATGGGGAAGGCTGGCAGGCTCCCCGCTTCTCCCGGGGATCAGGAGGCATGGTCGCCTGCTGGCTCTGCGTGGGAGATGACCCCCGCGAGGCAGTTGCTGCCCTCGGAGCCCAGCCCGCTCCTGCAAGGTACTCACCGGGCAGGACTGGCTGCTCGTTGTAAGCTGGGAAAAGAGAGAGAGGGAGAGGGTCATGATCTGGAGCGGGGACGGCAAGGGGTAGGGGAGGCTGGCGCGGGATAGCAGAGGAGGCAGAGAGAGGAGCCTAGGTCACCGTTGACGTAGAGGCTGTCCCTGTCCAGGCGGTAAGGGCCCAGCTGCGTGATGCCTCTGGTCCTGTTGCTGACTTCGTGGTAGAGGCCCACCCTGTCCAAGGGTGGGGCGGAGGGCTCCTTCGCGTAGGTGCAGACGGCGTCCACCCCCGTGCCGTCCCCTTGCCTGACGGGCCTGGAAGACACAGCACCGTGGCTGAGCACCCGTCCTCCGCGCCCTGGTGCTGCAAGGCCGGGCCTTGGGGCTTCCTCAGCCGTCCCTGCGCGGGAGCGAAAGCTCGGCCTTCCCACCCCGTGCACGCGTGCGTGCGTGGAGGCTGGAGGCGGCTCTCCAGCCACCGTTAACGCCCTGGGGCTGTTCAGGACGCGCGGGGCTAGGCAGGATTTAGAGTGGTCTTGGGACTACGTGGTATAAGCCATGTGGCGAGGGGGCAGGCAGCAACGCTAGGTCCTGAGGCAGGAGTGCTTTACGGAGAAAGTCGTGCGGTGGGAGGGATTAGTGTTTAAATTGGTGAGGCAGGAGGGCATCAGGGAGAAGGTTGTGAGGCGGTAGGGATTGGAGGAGAAGGTCGTGAGTCAGTAGTGATTCAAGGATGTCTCAAGGCTGGAGGACATGAGGGAGAGGGTGGTGGGGTAGGAGGGATTCCAGGAGAAGGTCGTGAGGTAGGAGGGATTCCAGGAGAAGGTCAAGAGGCAGGAAGGAGTCAGGGAGAGAAGGCCCTTCAGCCTTAGTGTAGGTGGCAAAATAGCGTGGGATCGTGACGGGCCCCTCCACCGATCGTGGGAACTGCAAAAGGACACTCGGGCACGACCCAGACCTGAAGGCTGTTGTTTCACATCCCAGGAAAGCGGGGCCAATGCTGCTGTCCTTCAGAAGGCGGTGAAGCTGCCGAGAAGACAGGTTTCAGAGTTAAGAGGCGGCCACCTCCCTGCGCTGCCCCAGTAGCTTTCTGGGGCTACCGTGGCACGGCCATTGCTGTGTGGTGGGCCGCTTACCAAGGTGGCCATGACTCTTCGCGTCGTGTTGAACTTGGCCGAGTCGGGAGTCGCCAGGTCGGAACTGTAGGGGAGGTTGGTGATGGTGAAGTTGATGGTGAAACGCTCGGGGGCTGCAGCGGTCGTAGGTGGGTGGGTGGGAGCTGCAAGAAGCACAGACCGGGAGTGACGCCAGGGTGCCAAGGCTCTGGGTGGAGAATGGCAGAGGTCTCCTGCCAGCCACCGCTCCTTCGCGGCCCTGCTCTGGATGGGGAAGGCTGGCAGGCTCCCCGCTTCTCCCGGGGATCAGGAGGCATGGTCGCCTGCTGGCTCTGCGTGGGAGACGACCCCCGCGAGGCAGTTGCTGCCCTCGGAGCCCAGCCCGCTCCTGCAAGGTACTCACCGGGCAGGACTGGCTGCTCGTTGTAAGCTGGAAAAAGAGAGAGAGGGAGAGGGTCATGATCTGGAGCGGGGACGGCAAGGGGTAGGGGAGGCTGGCGCGGGATAGCAGAGGAGGCAGAGAGAGGAGCATAGGTCACCGTTGACGTAGAGGCTGTCCCTGTCCAGGCGGTAAGGGCCCAGCTGCGTGATGCCTCTGGTCCTGTTGCTGACTTCGTGGGTAGAGGCCCACCCTGTCCAAGGGTGGGGCGGAGGGCTCCTTCGCGTAGGTGCAGACGGCGTCCACCCCCGTGCCGTCCCCTTGCCTGACGGGCCTGGAAGACACAGCACCGTGGCTGAGCACCCGTCCTCCGCGCCCTGGTGCTGCAAGGCCGGGCCTTGGGGCTTCCTCAGCCGTCCCTGCGCGGGAGCGAAAGCTCGGCCTTCCCACCCCGTGCACGCGTGCGTGCGTGGAGGCTGGAGGCGGCTCTCCGGCCACCGTTAACGCCCTTGGGCTGTTCAGGACGCGCGGGGCTAGGCAGGATTTAGAGTGGTCTTGGGACTACGTGGTATAAGCCATGTGGCGAGGGGGCAGGCAGCAACGCTAGGTCCTGAGGCAGGAGTGCTTTACGGAGAAAGTCGTGCGGTGGGAGGGATTAGTGTTTAAATTGGTGAGGCAGGAGGGCATCAGGGAGAAGGTTGTGAGGCGGTAGGGATTGGAGGAGAAGGTCGTGAGTCAGTAGTGATTCAAGGATGTCTCAAGGCTGGAGGACATGAGGGAGAGGGTGGTGGGGTAGGAGGGATTCCAGGAGAAGGTCATGAGGTAGGAGGGATTCCAGGAGAAGGTCATGAGGTAGGAGGGATTCCAGGAGAAGGTCGTGAGGTAGGAGGGATTCCAGGAGAAGGTCAAGAGGCAGGAAGGAGTCAGGGAGAAGGTCATGAGGTAGGAGGGATTCCAGGAGAAGGTCAAGAGGCAGGAAGGAGTCAGGGAGAGAAGGCCCTTCAGCCTTAGTGTAGGTGTCAAAAGAGCGTGGGATCGTGACGGGCCCCTCAGCTGATCGTGGGAACTGCAAAAGGACACTCGGGCACGACCCAGACCTGAAGGCTGTTGTTTCACATCCCAGGAAAGCGGGGCCAATGCTGCTGTCCTTCAGAAGGCGGTGAAGCTGCCGAGAAGACAGGTTTCAGAGTTAAGAGGCGGCCACCTCCCTGCGCTGCCCCAGTAGCTTTCTGGGGCTACCGTGGCACGGCCATTGCTGTGTGGTGGGCCGCTTACCAAGGTGGCCATGACTCTTCGCGTCGTGTTGAACTTGGCCGAGTCGGGAGTCGCCAGGTCGGAACTGTAGGGGAGGTTGGTGATGGTGAAGTTGATGGTGAAACGCTCGGGGGCTGCAGCGGTCGTAGGTGGGTGGGTGGGAGCTGCAAGAAGCACAGACCGGGAGTGACGCCAGGGTGCCAAGGCTCTGGGTGGAGAATGGCAGAGGTCTCCTGCCAGCCACCGCTCCTTCGCGGCCCTGCTCTGGATGGGGAAGGCTGGCAGGCTCCCCGCTTCTCCCGCGGATCAGGAGGCACGGTCGCCTGTTGGCTCTGCGTGGGAGACGACCCCCGCGAGGCAGTTGCTGCCCTCGGAGCCCAGCCCGCTCCTGCAAGGTACTCACCGGGCAGGACTGGGCTGCTCGTTGTAAGCTGGAAAAGAGAGAGAGGAGAGGGTCATGATCTGGAGCGGGGACGGCAAGGGGTAGGGGAGGCTGGCGCGGGATAGCAGAGGAGGCAGAGAGAGGAGCATAGGTCACCGTTGACGTAGAGGCTAGTCCCTGTCCAGGCGGTAAGGGCCCACTGCGTGATGCCTGGTCCGTTGCTGGACTTCGTGTAGAGGCCCACCCTGTCCAAGGGTGGGGCGGAGGGCTCCTTCGCGTAGGTGCAGACGGCGTCCACCCCCGTGCCGTCCC